TCTTTCCTCTGTCCTACTGAATCCACCACTCCCTCCCAACCATCTTTCCTCTGTCCTACTCAATCCACCACTCCCTCCCAACCGTCTTTCCTCTGTCCTATTCAATCCATCGCTCCTTTCCAGCGTTCGTTCCTACTAAATCCACCATTCCCTCCCAACCTCCCCTCCCCCACATCTCGGCCACAACACAGACGTTGTGATCATACATACCTGGTTTCTGGAATAGCAGCACACGTGTCAATAACGTCCCATATAAAAGCACCGATATGGCTCTCGTGTTTTGGCGTGGTAACGCCTAGAACTTTCTGTAAAGAGACGAACAGGCAAATAACAGATAACGATTTTCCAATGACAGATAACTCATATAATATAAATAATACACTGTAATAGATATAAATATTGACATACAGTTGATAAATACAGGACACACACACACACACGCAGTAATGAAAGGAGCATGTAGAAAGGTGAAAGAATGTCAAACAACTCAAGGGAAGTGGGAAAGGGGGCAGAAGAAAGCAGAAAGATACAGACAACAAGATTAAATCTCAATATTACTTCCTCCAGTATCTGCTTATTTTCTGCTCGCAATTACTCATAACTCGTTATTATATCGCAATTACTATATCCTCGTTGATGAGATGAGCCTGTGTAGAATGACGTCATCCTACATTATACTGTGGAACAGTAACATGTAAACAATTGACCCACGCAGTAGGAATTTATGAATGAATCTCGGCATTACATCTCTCCACAATACTTTATGCTGCGAGAATAATCCGTTCCTTCACTTTTTTTCGTTCTTTCGTTCACTTTTTTTTTTTCATTTTTCAAGTTATTTCATGGCCTCAACAATAAACGGAAACGGAAAACTACATCTGCCCTAAAAATACCAAGTCTTAAACATGCTAGCGATTTAAAGGTACAACTGTACGATTGTATCGTAACCCCCCCACCCCTACCTAGCCATCTGAATTATTCGGGACACATCTCTACATATAAACATAGGATTGTGACTGGGGCACGTTATCACATCTAGATTCTAGAGTACAGGCAGGGTACTGCCCTTACACATACCATAATACAGGAAACATAGAGTACTATAGCAGAGTAAGATTAGGCAGTACAATATTTAGTATTTAGATACTGTAGGGCAAAAGCAACAGGGAGAGATCGAAGGAGCTGTGAACTCGTAACCAGGGAGACAGCGACAATATAGTTTCCGGTGCTCGCTCGCTCACCTTGACTTGGCCAAAGCCGATGATGATGGAGGCGGCAGACGTGAAACCGCTGACAACGGGCAGAGAGAGAAAGCTGACGATGAAACCTGCAATAGAGCAGCAGCAGCATCAGTAGAGATGGTGTGATCAGCAATCAGCTAGAGCTGGGTAGACACTACCGACTTTACGTTGGCGAAAATACAACTTTTGCGTTTACACTGCCGATTGTCGGTTGTATAGTTGGGAAGTTGGTCCAATTCGCCAACACAAAGTCGGTAGTGTAAACCCAGCAGTGAAGACCACACAGATAACACACGCGTAAACACTCGATCAACCGGAGACCGGGGTTGACAACGTGTGCTTAAACACAAGTGTGTGCCTCGGGACACTCACCCGCGAACGTCATTAACACGAATCATCAGAGGTGCTTACAATTTAAGAGTGTTTTTTCGCGCCACTTTTCAAGTGATTAACTAAACACACTCTAAACGTTTTTGTATTTATCTAATTACAGAGAGAGCGTGTGTGCGTGCGTGTGTGCGTGCGTGCGTGCGTGCGCGTTCGTCTGCATGTGTGTTGTGTGTGCCTGTGATTGTGCGCCTGTGTGTCCGTGTGTGCATACGTACGTGCGTGTGTCTGCATGTGTGTTGTGTGTGGTTGTGTTTGTGCGTGCGTGCGTGCACCTGAACTCATCTTTGCCCCCGGACGGTTTGACCAAGCGTGACCCTGCAGTTCACCACGCCTCCCGTGCGACTACGTACACACGCACGCAGCAGCTGCGGACTCGCACGCACGCACGCAACGCAGCCACGCACGCACGCACGCATGCGGGACAACAGCTATGATATAGATGATAGATAGCATAAGATAGATAGGATAGATAGATAGGATAGATAGATAGATAGATCAGATACGATAGATAGGATAGATATAAAGTAGAGTTCAATAGGACACACACAATAAGAAAGAGAGAGGGAGAGGGTACAGAGAGAGGATTGAGAGTGAGAGTACAGGAGAGATTCGGAGAGATGAGTTACGTATGAGAGTGAGTATTGAGAGAATGGCAGATGAAATGAGAAGAAGAGATTGAGAAGTAAAATTAGAAGATGATCAGAGAGGCAGGGACGAGAGAGCTAGAGA